CAATGCAGAAGCACCAAAGAGACGAAGAGAAGACTCGGACGAAATGTCTACGTCTTTCAGTGCCTTTGGAAAAGCAACACATTACTATTCCAAAGGACAAGTAAAGAGGGACAGCTGTAGACACCCAATTTCGTCCGGGGGCATACAAACAAGGACATGGACCTCTGTTACGAAGGGAAGGAGCTCCCGAAGCATGCCAACAAGAAGACAGGACTTTAGAGGGCCCAAAAGCACAAATTAAATATTTTTATTGGCCCGGAACGGGCCGTTCCGAGGCTCCCAAAAGGCCAAAAACCCTAATTTGGAACGGGCTGTTCTGAAATTGGAAAAGGCCGTTCCAAGATTAGAACAGGCCGTTACAAACTCCTCAAAAAAGGGCTAAAAGGTTAATTGGAACGGAGCTGGAACGGGCCGTTCCTAAAATGGAACGGGCAGTTCCTAAATCGGAACGGGCCGTTCCTAAATCTGGAACGGGCCGTTCCAAGGCCGTTCCGGTCTAAAAATTACTTATTATTCTCACTACTGGAACGGGCCGTTCCGATTTCAGAACGGGCCGTTCCAGTATACGAATTTTACACGAAACGACCATATCCAGAACGGCCATTCTGATTTTGGAACGGGCCGTTCAAAACCCCCTTTCCGAAGTCTATAAATAGACAACTGGGGCTCTTTTCTCCGGACTCCAAATTTCATCTAGACTCCATAGAGCTCGAAATTTCTCTCTTTTTATCTCTTTTTCTCCCTCTTGTATTTCTTGAGATTTTGTGAAGCATTGTAGTGAGAAAGGTTGTCACAAAGCACCTGAAATCTCCATAGTTGAAGATCTAATAAAGCTTGTTACGAGGTATTATTCATCAATCCCTTGTTCTATTTTTCTCTTCTTTTATTTTAATTATTGCTATCATAAACGCAATTATGTAGATTTCTTAGGGTTCAACCGTGTAATTTAATTTTCATGTAAATAATCATTAATAAAGGGGATTAAATATTTTAATTATTAATTCTTATTATGTTATCTTCATCATAGGGTACCGATTTAGGGCGTTGTAGGGGTGCTTAATACCTTCCCTGCACGTAACCGACCCCCGAACCCAATTCTGGTTATCAAGACCATTATTGGACTTTTAAAAACCTTTTCTTTTTCCAATGTTTTGAGTAAAACATTGGTGGCGACTCCATGAACCTATTTTCAAAACCATTAATTAAGGATTAGT